TAATTTTATAGCGAATAATGATCACTAATTAGAATCCAGGCCACTTGGATAACACTGTAGCTGTAATGACTTTTGTTCTTTTTTAGCTAGGGTTTGTTACGACCCAGAGGAGTTGTGATTTTCTTCACCTCCCTGTATCAGGTCGCCCGCGTGGTGCAGTGGTTATCTAGAGCGTCTGCTCCAGAGTCGCAGAGTAAGGCTTTGATCCTTACGTCACGGGCTCGAATCTCACTGCAGACAATATAATTTTGTGTTTCTTACATATAATGTACAATATAATGTATTACTCTTACTCATCATATATTATAGTTTGAGCACAAAGTCTACTGTAGAATTTGTAAAATTTGCTTTGAAGTGTGAAAAACTAACACTTTCCAACATATAACCTTAAAGTAAATACTCCTGTATTTTGAGACAATCCCTAAAAAATATCCAGAAGACAGATTTTCCCTAAACTTGGCATATATACTGAAGTCATTGTAAATTACATACGATTTAAAATTACAGAGTTTTTATGTTATAGTTTTCACACAATAAAACCCCAGACGCCCCCTTAACTTAATTACCTTAACTTTCCAACCTTCAGAATTACAGTCTTTGATATTTTGTCACATTGTTATTAATAAAAATTATAATTTCACAGTGTAAGGGAGACAATCTAAAATTGTTCGAAGAATTTTTTGTTGTAGAAGTGATATTCATCAGCAAAATGTCAACGCTAATCAACGAAGTCTTTCATTATTTTCCTTGCTTCTGCATAAAATGTACACAAAAATACAACAGTTAAAGGAATATCTAGGTAATTAATGTTTGATTGATCCCGCCATGTTGATTGTCAGGGAACGAGGAAGACGCCTAGCATTGCTGAGGTGGATGAGGAGGAAGAAATGGAACCAGCAAAAGCCAGGGAAAGTTCTACAAGATTCGTTTCGAGCTAATTCCCAAATCTCCGTCAAAGAAGCCCTCATGGAAAGTTAACGAGGCCAGGTTTACAAATGTGTTCACTGAGCAGACCTTCATCTTCATGTTTAACCGCTGGTTGTTTCGGGAACACGAAGATATGGAGATAATGAGGGGATATGTGGAGATAACGAACAGTATTCGAGCTCAAAAGTCTATTAAATATTAGAAAATAGGAGCAGAGCAAACACGGACCTCTAAAACATCAGAGGTGGGATCAGGTGCCATGGAAGAGTGAGCATCCCCTGCTGATTGGTCACATCCGCCGTGTGATCCTTGTCATGATCGGGAAATAGCGAAAAAAATCCGTCGACAATTCAGTATGTAAATAATTGCCTAAAAATTGGAATGAACAAGATGTGTTTGTAAAACACTGATGCCCCCGTATGGCAGCTTATGGCGAAGGTTAAAATTTCTCATATGCAAGTCAAAATCCAGGCCAAAAGATAAAAAATGTTGGTACCCAAAGAAAGTGGTTGATATCCAAAGGAAGGTCTTGTCACAAGGTTCAAGGTTTACATATGTGAAGTATGAAAGTCCCACCAACTAGCACCAACTATTCAAAAGTTATGGCCATGGTTAAAGTTTTTCAAAAGTAGGTCAAACTTCTAGGTCAATGGCAAAAGGTCAAAGTGATTGGTATCCGAAGGAAGGTCCTGTCACAAGGATTACATGTGTAAAGTATGAAAGCCCTAGCTCCAACCTTTCAAAAGTTATGGCCAAGGTTAAAGTTTTTCAAAAGTAGGTCAAACTCCAAGGTCAAGGTGAAAAGGTCAAAGTTGTTGGTATCCAAAGAAAGGCCTTTTCACAAAGAATACACATGTGAAGTTTGAAACCCAAAGCACCAACTGATCAGAAGTTATGGCCAAAGTTAAAGTCTCATAAAATTTAACAAAAGTGGGTCAAAATCCAAGGTCAAAAGGTCAAATTTGATGGTACCCAAAGAAAGGTCTTGTCAGGAATACACATGTGAAATATTGAAAGTCATAGCTCCAACCAATCAAAAGTCATGGGCAAGGTTAAAGTTGACAACAGAGAGACAAACAGACAAACAGAGAGACAGGAAAAAACAATATATTCCCGGGATCTTTCGATCCAAGGGCATAAAAATGTCTGTCAGCATTTGACATAATGATGGGATGTACGAGGGGTGATCCAAAAGTTTGCGAACTATCTCGATATTTGAAAAATCACAATACAGATCAGCATAATATTTAGCACACATATAGTCATACACATGTTCTATAAATAATGTTTTGCTTCGTGTTTGTGACGTCACAGTGTAAAAATGACGTCAGTGTGTAGGTCACTTGTGACAAAAAATGGTTGACTCAGTCGTACTCGAGCAACGAACGGCTGTAAATTTTAACGTATATCTCGGAAATTCCTTTGCAGTAGAATATGATAATTTGTACAAGGTCTATGAAGATAAAAGACTTACCAGAAGTTCAATCATTAATTGGATTGAATGTTTTAATGAAGGCAGGGAGATGGTTAATAATTATGTTTGTTCTGTTGACCAGAGAAAGCAAGCCGGTAAAAAGATGTGTTCTTAGTTGAGCAATTTATTTTGAAAGATCGCCAAGTTACATTAAGAAAAATTGTTGAATATCTGAGCAATAATATAATTATAAAATTCCTAAAATATCTTTTACTTTAGACTTTAAACATATGAGATATGAAAAAAATAAAAGGCGCCCATACGTTTTCCACATTGGATAAACGACGCTCTCGAGACAGAGGACTCGGGTTGTGATGGTCACCATGGTAATTCTGGGAAGGGATATCCTTATCCACCCATCCTATTAACGAGATTTGGCCATTTCTGACAGATGGTCTGTTCTTCTTATAAAAAATTAATTGCATGGTAAGAAATATAAGACTCAGAAAAATCTCATAGCTTCTGTGAACAGACCGCTACGAATCATGTCACGTGACCGCCTGTATCACGTGATTCGCGCATGGGTAGAACAATGGCAGATGAGCATTAAAAGAGGAGAGGACTACTTTAAAAAATAATGAACAGTGAAACCTCATTTTATTTCTTTTAAGGAAGTTATTCAATTAGTTCGCGAACTTTTTGATCACCCCTCGTATTTGCTAACAAGGTCATTGTATCGACCATAGAATTTACGAAATGATGACTTTAAACGAGACTGCTGATATTCTTGTTTCATCAACTTGTTTGTACTTAAACTTAGCCCGTTTTAGAAATTGTTCATACGTAGAGCATGCTCTGGCGTATCGAATCAACTGAGAAATATAAACCCCATATGCAGGTGATAAGGGTATATTGCTGCATAAGTAAGGGAAGTTGACGATTGAAAAGTTAAAGTCATCACATTTATCATAAAGCTTGGTTGTTAGATTACCATTAACGTTTTTTCTAATAAAATATCCAAATATGATACAGATGTATCAGACTCTGTGGTATCTTGTATCTCAAGCTCAACGGGATATATCGTGTCGACATAAGAATGGAAATAACCATCGTTAATTGAGAATACGTCGTCGATATATCTAAATGTCGAGTTGAAGGCCACAGCAAGTGTTTTCTTCTTTTCACGTAAAAGATTTTGAACAAATTCTGTTTCATATGAATACAAAAGAAGGTCTGCTAATAACGGGGCGCTATTGGTACACATGGGAATTCCAATAGATTGTTGGAAGACCTGGTCTCCAAAAACCACGTAGATATTGTCAATCAGAAACTCGAGCATCTTTTTAATGTCAACTTTAGATTGTTTTTGCAAATGACCAATGACAAAGTAAATAAATTTTTTATTGAAAAAGCAGCTGTCAACGATGTCAGAAATTAAGTCTGGACTTTGATTTATCGTGGGGGATAGCTGTATATAAAGTTGAAAAGTCCTAAGTTTTTATGTTGATGATTTTGGTAAAATTTTGTGATTTCAAATGTTCCAAAAGTTCCTTAGAATTTTTTAGCATCCACATCTGATTTACACCACTTCTCGAATATATTGTTCCACAGTACTCTTGAAGTTTCTTCTTTTCACTACTGTTGATATCTTAGTGAAAAGTAAAGAAAGAGGCTTGGTAGAACATTTACTGGAACCCGCTATGTCTCTGTTCGTAAGAATTTTTATGAAGTTTCGGAATCCAATATAGATATGGTAATTCAAATTCATTTTGGTTGTTGGGAATATTAAAAATATTCAAAACTGACATTTGATTTTGAAGAATTTCCTCCTTAGAAAGGGAACTATGGGTATAAGTTGGAATTCCACTTGTATAATTAAATCTCAGTTCCTCTAAAATACAATTTATATAATGAGCCTTACAAACAAAGACAATGTTGTTACCTGCTTTGTCAGCAGGGACCAGTACGTACTGATCGAACTGAAGGAACTTCCTGCCATCTGGTCAGGGGAGGAAACTCCTTTATTGGCTTCGTTACATTTAAAGTAAAAATACAACATTTAATTGGATATCTTCTCTGCATCTTTCCATCTAGGAGGCAAGTTGTTATAAGCAAGGGTATTTTTAAAAGATTTTCGATATTCTGCTTGGTGAAGTGTTCTGGTTCTGGGCTGGGCTCTATTGGTTAATGCCTCAGATTTTCTTTTCAAACAAAGTTTCTTATCTCAGAGGTTATTCTGCAACATTCATTAAAACGTGAACTTTATTTCTTTATTCATGTTACATTGTTCCAGGTACACATTGAAAAAAATATATTGTTTATTTGTATGATTTAATTTCACAACTACCTCCTAATAATAAAAAATATAACAAAATACAATACATGTATAACTATAATAATATGTACTCTGATAATTGTTGTTGTTGTTCTTTTTTGTTTGTTTGTTTGTTTGTTTGTTTTTTTGTTTTGTTTTGTTTTGTTTTTTTTTGGGTTTGTTTGTTTTGTTTTGTTTTGTTTTTTTTTTAAAGCTTAGAAACTTCAACTTTTTTTCATTTTGCATTGATTTACATCTTCCTAAAAAAATACAATGTACATGATCAAGGTTATAAACTCTAACAGGTGAACGGTACTACAAATACTTAACATTTATATTACTAATTTATTGATTTTGTAGACAGACTTCGTGTATTCTCATTTCTGTAGATGTGCGTATTTTGCTGAATGGTATTTGTCTGAGAGATTGTTGGTATGAGTATAGAGCAGCCTGGAGGTTCCCTGTCACCTGTTGACAGATCCCCAGAATCTGCCACGATACGTCTCTGAGATGTATAGATATAAGCTGTCCCTGTTCGTAGTGAACTAGGGTTTGTAGATCATCTAGAGCTGTTTGTGCTATCATTCTGTCTAAATGTCTGTAGCACAAGATCTCTAGCATGTAAAACAGTATCAAGCGTGGGATAAATAATACAAGGGATCTGTTCTGTAGAGCGGACTGTTGTTCCGGTATCAATTCACTGATGTAATGGATTCTATTGTCAAGTTTGATATACCATGCTACAGCCTGTCTCATCTTTGTAGACCAGGACCGCTCCTCTACAGCTTCAGTATACATCTCTGTATCTACATTAAACCTATACATCACATACGGCTGTGCTAACTTGACCTTGATCATCTCTATAATAGATAAAGCTTCCATGTATCTAAGTGTCTTGTAATAATACTTGGCTATATACATCATGTCAGTAATACAACCAAATTTGGCTGCTAATTTCAGCATGTGACAGGAGATTTTGTCAGCTCTATACCTCAGTTTGTTTTCCTGTGTGCAAGTTTCCATGTATAATATAAAAGCTGTTTTCTGAAGGACACCAGCTGTAAGTTTCTGTAGCACAAGGACTTGATACTGTGTCAGGAGGGGTGAACCCATCATCTGTTCTACTGCATGTAGATATCTCGTACAACTTTGTATGTTGAATTTTGAATATGTGTCATGTTTTTGTATTTCCTCATATAGATTTACATCAAACTCAGTCTCAGAAATCAGAGTATGTTCATCTGTACAGATGGAGAGTCTGGGATTAAAAAGGACATTTATAATATAAGACCTTATGGAGGGACTGTGTAGCAGGAATGCTAAACCCTTCTCATACAACCTATACAATCTCACAAATAATTGATGTTGATTTTTGCCATGAATTTTACTCAGAAACATGTTATTTTCTGGAATGAAAAAGTTAGGACAGACCCCCTCATACGCCCATTTGAGTATGAGTTTAAAACAGACCCAGAAACCACCCAGGAGATTTTGTGGACACCAATGAGGTAATGTATTTTGTTGAATCACACAGAAAACTGCTGTCTTCATGTGATAGGAACACAGTAATTTATCATCATCACCTACTCCATTGTTTATTATTTCTGTTAAGAACAATTTAAGCAAGCCATAAGTTAAGAATTGACAGTGGTTCATTGCATACACAAGTTTGTGTTCTGCCAGAGAGAAAGAAATTCTCCATTCATGGTCTTCATGACTTCCTAACTTATTTCCAATTGCTACAAAGTGACATCCATTTTTCACTATATCATCAACAACATGAGGCTGGGGCCATGAGTGACATCTGTCTATCCATGAGGAGGCAGATGGAGGCCAAAAGTCACAAGCAAAACAGCACGTATAATCATATTCTATTGATCCAACCGTTCCACTGGCACAGGGTCCATGTTGAGTGGAATAAATTGATGATAGAAGACACATGATCTGTCTGTGTATAGAACTAGATATATAATGTCTGTTATACATTCTAACACAAGCTCTCTGAATTTCTCTATTCATTCTTGGTGAGAGTAAATATAACAAAGTGAATCCTGGTGGACTATTAGAACAGTCACAGAGGATCAGTGTTTGTCTGTGTGTGTTGTAATACTGAGACTGAGATAATTCCCAGATCACACTGTAATTATTTGGCCAGTACATAAAATCTATATCTGATTCTTTCAGTCTGAATCCTTCTCTGCGGCTTCCACTCACCATCTCACTGTACCCATAATTTGTTGTCATTTGATTTTCCACCTTATCCCTGATGTCCATCACATCTCTCCTCATGGCCAGCATTTGTGAGGTACCCACTTTATGACACAGTCCCACAAACACTGACTCTGATATTTGCTGTACGGCTGTCCTGCTGGCAAGAATTAAAGGAGTATTTTATATATATCTTGTATGATATGCTTATTTAGTAACAATCATCATCATCATTAACTTAGTTTATATTTTTACTTTAAAACTTTGGGTGTAATTCTCTATTTAAAAAATGTTTTATATGCATTATTTAATTCGTTGTTTTCTTAACCTTTTTATTGATTATTAATGGAGGAAACTAAACTTTAATGTAAGAATATTAATTGTTTTGTGCCATGTCTCATAAACTATTAAAACAGATTTCAACAAAATATACTGATTCAGGCAGATTAAGAATAGTAAATATTGCTGTCATTAAAACTTACATTTGTGACGATCTAAAATAGTCCATGTTTATCTTTTCAAGGAAAACTTAAAAATTTGACGGAAGTACTTCTAAAAGTTTCCGATGCTATAATTAGTACAGAGAAATCCACTACCACTGATTTTATATATAGCAATATCTTTATGATCTAGCTATCATAAACAGGGAAGAATCCTGAAATCTCAGGGTTTTTTTAAGGAGGGTACAAATTTGCCATTAATTGGTTACTTAAGATTTACTGAATTGTGCAGTGATGAAAAAAAAACATTTCAGAGGCAGGAGTCTAGGGGATAAGAAAATTTTAAGACTGTTTTGTGCCATGTGTATATGTAAAGTTAAAATGGTCAACAAAATGTATTCATTCAGAAAGTGTAGGCTTTTTTAGAGTAATACATTGCTTATAAAACTTATGTTAAACCTTCTTTACATAGTGTAAATTCAGGTTCATTCAAATCACGACTCCTAAAGGTAGGGTGGGGCCACAATGGACAATCAAAGTTTTACATAGGAATTCATAGGAAAAATCTTTTAAAATATTCTCAAGAACAGCAAATTAAAGCCAGGATTAGTCAACTCAGCATTGTACCCTGAATTACTTAAAATGTCCTGTTTTGTACAGCCGTGGTGGTTAGCACCATATTAACAACAGTTGAAGAAAAGTGCAAGCTAGAAATAAATGATATCATTAACAGTGTATTTATTTATTAGTACATATATCATTAAGAAAAAGTATTTGTTATAACAGTCAAAAGAAAACATAATCATTGCTAACAAAGAACCCCATGGTAATTGAATGTAACTATGTTAATTCAATGCCAACATAATTTAAACATATAATTGGAAATCTATGTAGTTAAACTCACATCTCGAGTTAACAAGGTTTATTAAATGTCACATTTTCATCATAATGCTTAACAAGAATGACCTTTCATACAGACAGTTCAATTACAGTGTATATATTTAAAAAAGAAGAAGATAAAACTACAACATTTAAAGATAAACACTCTCTGTATTTTAATTTTCAGTTTTGATCTCGTTGTTCTTCAATCGGTCAATGCACAATGAAACTAAGTAATCATATCTTCATAAGCTACAAGTTTAAAGGATACAGCAAGTCTGGCTTTCCAGAAAGCCTGAAATGTCAGCTCTTTGGCTTCATTAATGTCACAAAGTAAACGTGGAATGTTACATTATTTTCTCAGCTATTACAGTAGTATTGCTTTTGATAAAATAGGGAGGGGGGTGGAGGACAGAAAAATAAATCGACGACTTATCTGAACAATCTCTGACAAGGGGAAAAAAGGGGCTATCCAAACTCAATATTTTCATTTCTTGGAAGGAGGGATTACAACTTTACGACAAACATATTTTATATTATAATACATTCCCATCCATGAGATAATTTGACGTACCATACTGCAACAAAAGGTGGAAGATGGGACAAGGGTGCGCCTTTTCAATGTTGGGGGGATGCTTTATTCATTTTAAATATATTTTGTATAATGTCTGTAAAAAAAAAAATCTAACTACTGAGAAGTATTCGTAAGAATTATTTAAATGAATTTTAAGTTTTACTTAAAAAATTCTATGTACATTGGAATGCTCTGCGTATAATTAGAGTTATCGCGCTTGCATTATCCTTGGAAGTTTTTGACGAGTCCAAATTAGGAGAGGCAAATGCAAGTGATTCTTGGAAATGAAAATATTTAGTATATGCCCAATGAAAATCATGCGCGGTAAAATTCTGGACCCGGTCGTCCAGATAGCGTCGTTTTTCAGTTTCTGTTAGGACGCCGTGAAAAGTACATGTGTGTTGGATAGCTTCAAATTATTTTAAGCCGCCTCCACCCCGCCACCTTTTCCTTTTTTGATGAAGTCCAATTCTGTCTATATCTTTGTTTTGAATTTGTTTTAGGTAGTTTTCGGTTTCAGACCACAAGAAGGTTTTATATATTATGTAATCAATTACGCCACATATTAGGTAATCACTGTTTACATATCAATCATATTCATAATTCGGCTTCATTCTGTTGTGAATTTTTGATACAGATAATAAGAAGTTAATTAATAATTTTATGGATTTCTTGACCGATTATTACATAATTAATTACAAGTAATTTCTATAATTAAAGTCACATTAGTGGCAAAGTGCAACATACCTAAGTGTTTTGTTGTGTATGAAAATGGAGAGTGAAGGCGGTTTCTCAAAATTCTGCGATAGTACAATAACTGAGAGTTGGGTTCATGACAGTACACGGAAATGTTTAAGAATGAGAAGTTCCACAGATTAGTTATTTTATCAAACTGAATTTGCATTGGCAATTGTACATAAAGTCATATATGGCGTATTTTTTTTTATAAGTTCAGACTACCTAAATTAAAACGTTTTTCTATTTGTTTTATTACTTTATATAAAAATAGGACTTTCCTGTAAATTACACAATTTAAATCAATCACGTTTCAAACATATTAGAATTTTAAAACAATAACTGATTTATTTACCGATTCCGCATTTAATTAGCAGACAGAGTTTAATTCTTTTTTAATCAATCTAACTATGGAAACATGAAGTTATTCAAGTTCAAAATCGGTGAAAAATTTAATTTCAACGTAAATAACATATATCATGTTTAGCTACACTCAATCTCGTATTTTTATTTTTTAGCTCAGATACACCATCGATAGCTTTAACAATTATTCCGAAAGAAGATGGATAAAAACTTAGCGTTCCTTTTGACTTTAGTTCTTAGCCGCCTACAACGGCAGCAAAGAAGTTTTAAAGCACCAACTTAAATTAATCTGAACCTCATTTAATTCCAAATACTTTCCTAGCTTTATTTCCTTAATCGTATCCTCTGAAATGACTTGGCCATCGAGCCACTGTTAATATCAAGGGAAAAATTGAGACACTCCTGCATCATGCCCTTCTGCTGCCCATGCAGATTCATGTTCTAACACTATATTATGTATAATATAAGTACATGTACATGTATAGGCTCTTGGGAAAAAATCATGCATAGAAGGGAATAGAATTGAAACGATACCATTTAAAATTAAGTATTTGCACCCTGAAAAGAACCTCAATCTACCAAAATCGATTTTATGGGCTGTTCATGGGCTGAGACACATTTTATAATTTTTGCTTTATTTCAAGTATACGAGGAGTGATTTTTTTTTTTTACTTTTTTTCATTGACAAAAAACGCAAATTAGAATTGTATAAAGAAAATGATAACAGTTGCTTTGTTTATTAATTCTTAAAATCTGAGCAAGGTAAAGAAAATTGTATCTTTTCCAAAAACTTTCCTACAGGGGTTAATTTAAATTAAAAAAAGAATAGTGCACACATATCCAAGAAAATTCTCATAATGATTCTTTATTATCTTTATTCCAATGCCCGCAGCACTGAGTTACTTAAATCAGAGACATTTATGTTTCTGCCTAAATTGTGCTTTAAGGTTAAATTTCTTTTCTTCGAAATTTATTTTTTTTGAATAAGTTCAGTTTTATTTTTCATATACTGTAAACCAACTATTATTCGCGTCATCTTTTATTCACGATTCGTCAGTTTGAAATCAATCCGTGACGATTAATTTTGGCGACTGAGGAATTATTCTATACAAATAGAAAGCAAAATAAATGCTTCGCGCCGATTTATATTCGCGAGTTAAAGTAGGTCGCGAAACTCGCGAATATTTCTCGCACGCGAATAAAAGTTGGTTTACAGTATACAGCAGTAATTATCGATTGACTAAAGTACACATAAAAGTAAAGTTTTTGCCATTGTATTTATGCATTTAATGTGAGTTGTTATTTGAATGTTTTCACTGTTTTCTTTCGTCAGTAAATCTTGGATCAACGTCTTGGCTTATACATTCAATGTGCCGTGATTTGTGTATTTTGATCCCCGCGCTCTGACCATCGTTTTACGCAATAGCCTAGATACGATGTTTATTTGTATTCTGAAGACTCACCACTACCCAAGTGATCCTTCCTCTAGTACTCTTAATGAACCCTGTGTAGTTTTACTATAAGATGGACCATTTTGTTTAATAATAATAAGACAGAATTTGGTCAATTTTGTTACATTTCTATATTTAGAAATCGTGTCATCATCAGGTCCTTTGCCAGACCACCAGCTTATCAATATTTATAAATGTTTTAATTACTAAAATCTCCTTCAAGTCCTAGACCAGTGATCATGCACAGACAGACAAACTAACAAAGATGGAGGCCTACTTCATATCACTAGATCCTCAGTCCTCATCTAAATCTATTGACATTGTCTGTGTAGTCAACATCCATCATTTTATTTAAGGCCTGAAATAAATTCTTAGGTTGGATACCAAAATAATGGTCACCATCTACAGTAAAACCTGGCTTACAGCAAATGGATTTTTTTAAAGTTTATATGTAATGAGTTTACCTGATACAATGAGACTGAATTGATAATGTTAATTTGTCTCTGGAACTTTGCTGCAAGCATGTATTACTGCATAATAATTAATATTAGTTGACAAGTATAATACACAGTGAGGACTTCTGACATTTTAAATGGAAAATTATGTTGCTTTGAAAAAGTATACTACATGTATCCTCTAAATTTTGAGAGGCAATTATTTGGTGACAATATGCACTTTAAGCAACATTTAAACATCTCTTATAATATAAGAATATTCAAGGAATAAACAAAACTATACACAAATAGCAGATACTTTTAAAATAAAAATACGTGGGAAGATTCCTTGTGAAAGGGATTTTAATTAAATACCAGTATGTTACTAAATCTGTCTCCATCAAATATTCTGGCTAGTATAACAATGTTTTCAGCCAGGTAAATGTACCAGGTACCGGCATGTTATATATAATATATTTATATATATTTTATCAAATAGAGTTATAAAAGCTTACCCGAGTTAATCAAAGGTAAAGATTTCTACGTGCCAGTCTGATTTTGTCGAGTTCTAGGTCCTCCAGATACCGGACTCGAGATAAACGCAGAGACTGAAAAGTTAACAATATTGTACAAGTATTTCATGAATTTTGCTTAAATGTTAGGTTACTAGTGTGTATTTATACTGAATCTGAGCCTGTGAGTTTACTCTTGATACTGGATCGTTCTTTAATGGGTCCGAAGTGAAACTTCAAGCAGAGATGCTAAGCTTTCTCTGTGGACATTTGTATATACTATATTTACTTATTCAAAGGTTTCCTTTCAATGTGATTTATACTGATCTCTATGAATTTTGAGTAATATTGATCTTTCTGATTTCTGAGTTATACTGGTCTCTATGTATTTTGAGTTATACTGATCTCTATGATTTTGAGTTATATTGGTCTCCATAATTTCAGTTATTATGACTGACCTATAGAGGTTGCATAGATTGAAGTTATACCTGAGCTTCTTTGAGTTGAGATTTCACTGACTTTGAAAAGGTTATAAAATCATTCTGATGTTTAGAAATATTCAACGCGTCGAGTTGTTCTCTAGCGATTCATTTTCTGAAGTTAAGATTATACTCACCACGTCGAGTTGTTCTCTAGCGAGTCTTTCCCGTCTCTTGACCTCTAGATCTTGTTCAAGTCGAGCGAGTTCTCGAGATTTGCTGAAGGCCCTGAGATGTTCTAGTTCTATTTTTTTCCCAAAGATCTGCTGCGTTGTAATGCGCTCTCTGTTCTCTCAAGATCCAACCTCTCATAGGCTGTCAGGGGACGTAACTCTGTGACTGTCAGGGGACGTAACCCATACCTGTCTGTGGGTTTGTAGAGTAGTGTGTCTGTAAGAGTCATCCTGTATGATAATCTTTCTGTCAGTGTTTTCCTGTAGAGAACTCTGTGTAATACTGTACATCATTCACTTATTTAAATGTCTGATTAAGCTAATTTTGTGATATTATTATAAAACCTAATTGCATTGATGAATACACCCACAGAATACATGTTTTGTATTAAATATTTGTATTCATTATTTAGTGTAAATTAATTAAAGCTGTGTTCAACATGGCTTAGAGGAATTAAGGTCATGGTCAGAATGTTAACAGTGTTCCTGTCTCCATTGTCAACAGAAAAATGGTCATACATGTAGTTGTAACTCGAAAAAAGTGCTCCTCCTAGAATAAATTTAATAAACAAACAAGTACAGAGAAACCTAAGGCTTGATTTTTATTTCACTGAAACTTATTCAATGAAGTTTAAAGTCAGACAATTTTTGAAAAAGTTCAATGGAGCATCGCATTGAGTATATGTTTAATTGCCATTTGTTTTTATCCATACTCATCCAATGAGCTTTGATCATTTACTTTAGAAAATTTACATCTAAATTATATGATCAATAAGAATCTTTAGGTAAATAAGATATTCATTTATTTTTACTGACTAGTCTACAGTACAGTCATTTGTTTGATGTAATATTGTAGAAGGGCTGTGGTCCGTACCGTGAATTCAGAATGAGGGTCCAGGAGGACCGGTCCATTATATTTGAGCCTGTGAAAAACTCACTACAGTTTCTGACATTTGGTGAAGATGGGCACTCAAAAGATATCAGGGAATATTAGACAAAGAAAAGAACCCGCAGGTTCCATATTCTATGTCTTTGTTCCATGTCTATTGCAATGTCATATTTTAGTTGTTTGACAATACTCGTGACTGTTTAATTAATTTGAGGTCTGCTCGTGTAAATTCTATAATAATTATTGATGATCATGTTTGAATAACATATTATCAATAAATATAAATTAAAGAAATGTTTCTCAATTGAAATTTAAAAATGAGATGAAGTAATTAAGTGATTTTGTTTTAAGGTATGTTTCGACACAGAAGAGTGATAATTTTCTCCATCTCCCTTTAACAGGCCATCAACATCAACTCCGATCTGTCAATGACTACGCTAGGTACACCCTCCAGTAAAATGGCACAGTTCAGAGTTCACAAGGTCACAGAGAATGGGGTCAGAATATTCGCCTGAAGGATGGGAAGATTGACAGTCAAGTAAGTCAATAGTCACTTTAATTTGACTGGTTTCAGAAATAGATAATTTTGAAAAAGAGGAGTTTAAGAGACGTAAAAGACATTGACATTGTTAAATAACATAAAAACTTAATATTGTCTTTTCATTTCCATACTATGCTTTCGTCTTCAATTTTTAGATTGAGCCAGACCACAAAATAAGCCGATCAACAAACTGCTTAAAGAATAGGATGAGGTGGATCTCATCAATTATTATATCAACATTTTTGTATTTTTTGCCTAAAAACAATTAAAATAAATGAAAGCACAGTATTCAAATGTTAAAGTCATTTAAGCATTTCAGACTATCTAATCATTTTGTACTGGCAAAATTATCTGCTTTGTGGAAAACAACAAAACCTGTATTATTTCTTTTAAAAATCATGTTCGCAGTTGTATTTAACGGATGATTCGTATTTAAAGGGAATTCGAGATGAGGTTTCACATTTTCTTGTGGAGAAACGCAGAGCAGGGGGATGTATAAGCTTGTAGTCAGCTTCACAGAGAAGGTTGTATCTGGCCGATAGGTGACACAGGGGTCAAAAATGTCGACAAATAACCTCAGGCTGTGAAATGTAAGAGAGCAGTATACATGTTTTAACCTACCTGAACACCTCTACCCACAGGTTGTGGAATGTACGAGAGCAGTATACATGTATTTAATTTACCTTAGCACCTGTATTCACAGGTTGTTCAATGTAAGAGGACAGTATACATTTATTTAACTTACCTGAGCACCTGTACCCACAGTTTGTGGAATGTAAGAGAGTATAGTACATGTATTAAACTTACCTGAGCACCTGTACCCACAGGTTGTGGAATGTAAGAGAGCAGTAGGAATGTGGAATGCCACACGGCGGGTGTGACCGGTCGGCAGGGGATGCTCACTCCTCCATGGCACCTGATCCCACCTCATGTCTTTAAGGTCCGTGATTGCTCTGCTCCTATTTTGTAATGTTTAATGGACTTTTGAGCTAGAATACTGGTCGTTATCTCTACATATTTTAAACATGTATTTATCCTACCTGGGCACCAGTACCCACAGGTTGTGGAATGTGAGAGAGCAGCATACTTGTATTTAACTTACCTGGGCACCTGTACCCACATATTGTGGAATGTAAGTAAGCAATGATTAGCATCTATCGTATTAGTTGTGTTCAATAAAAAAAAAACAGGAACATTTCGTGATTTTTTTTTTTATTTTTTGAGATACCCTTTCTAGACACCAGACAATAGAATTTCCTTTTTCTAACCTATAAAGTACAATATATTATTACTTATCATATATTATAGTTTGAGCAAAAAGTTTACCCTAGTATTTTAAAGTCAACATTTCCTAAGTTCCATGGTCGATACAATGACCTTGTCAGCAAATACAATCTATCATTAAGTCAATTGCTGACCGACTTTTTTCATACTAATTGTTAGGCCATTATTATCGACAGATTTTTCCGTTATTTCCCGATCATGACAAGGATCACACGGTGGATGTGACCAATCGGCAGGGGATACTTACTCCTCCATGGGACCTGATCCCACCTCTGATGTTTAGACGTCCGTGTTTGCTCTGCTCCTATTTTGTAATGTTTAATGGACTTTTGAGCTCAAATACTGTTCGTTATCTCCACATATTTCATTGTGAAATGTCCTTTGAAGTGCGAAAAACTAGCACTTTCAAAATAACCCCATAATAAATGCTCCTGTATTTTGAGAAGGTTCCTAGAAGATATTCAGATCCAGACGATATATTTTTCATAAATTTGGCATGTACATTTAAATCAAGTTTATCAAGTTTATTATGATATATATATATTTACAGAGTTTTTGTTTTGTAGGTTTTACACAATAAAACTCCAGTCGGCCCCGTTAACTTAATTACTTATGCACACTTTAGAATAACAGTCTTTAATGTTTTGTCACATTGTTATTATAGAAATTATTATTCCACAGTGTGAGGGAGAAAGTCCATTTTTTATATGGAGAAATGGAGAATTATTGGAAATTTTTGATGTAGGAGTTATATTCATCAGCAAAAATGAACGAAGTCTTTTATTTCCCTTGCTTCTGCATAAAAATGAATAGACACATACATAACAGTTTAAACCATATTAAATTAATGTTTTATTGATCCTCCATCTTGAGCGAAGAAGACGTCTTGCATTGCTGAAGTGGAGGAGGAAAAAACCAGGCCACACAGGTCAGTACTAAATCACGTTAGACAGAAATTATCAACAACGTCTTACCCCCTTAATATTGTTGAAGACTCTTCAGTTCTCCAAGATTAATTATTCACATTTAAATACCCCCTCCCTTCCTCTCACATTAATGTTGATTTCATGACCTTGCAGTGTTTTGACCGAGGATGATCAATATCGAGTTGGGTAAAAGTTTGGTATTAAGTTTCAGTAACCCACCTTGCTTTGCTACTGAAATGACCTAACCAATGTTATGAAATAAGCAAGTGACTCATCGATATTGACAGATGCTCATTAATGATTTCATTTTCCCAAATATATAGACAACCACATTGTCTCTTCAATATTCTTATTGATGCAGTTAAGACTAATTCCGGCACTCTTAATATGCATTGACTTAACATCATGTGTCCACCTTGATGTATCATTACAATTTTTGATTAATATTATTTTTACATTATAAACAGCTGGGTTTTTTTCCAGAGGAAAAGAAAAAAGAAACATTTAACATTTGCAAGTGTTCTATAAATTAGGTTTTCCAAGGATAAGACTGAAATGTTTTGAATGCAGATTGTCAGATTGTTTTTAGCTGACCTGAGCCGAAGGCTCAAGTGGGCGTTTCTGATTGAAATTTGTCCGTCTTCGTTGTCCTTGGCGTTGTTGTCATTGTCGTAACCTTTTCACAATTTCATCTTCTTCTCCAGAACTACTGGGCCAGTTTCAACCAAACTTGGCACAGAGCATCCATGGGTCAAGATGATTCCAGTTTGTTCAAATGAAGAGCCACGCTCTCCTCCAAGGGGAGATAATTACAAAATAGCGAAAAATTAATGGCATCATTGAAGTATCTTCTTCTCAAGAACCAATAGGCCAGGAAGGATGAAACTCTTCTTCTCAAGAAAAGCAAAGCAATGATTGGTCATATTTATGTGAAAGCATCCTTAGGTGGTGTAGATTTAAGGTTGTTCAAATCATGACCCCCGGGGGGTAGGGAGGAGCCAAAATGGATGATCAAAGTTTAACAGATGAGCATATTTATATGGAAGCATCCTCGAATGGGTAAGATTCAATTTTTGTTTTAAATCATGACCCCTGGGTGTAGGGTGGGGCCACCAGACGTGGACGATCAAATTTTAACAAAGGATTATATAGAAAAATCTTCAAAAATCTTCTTCTCAAAAACCGCAAAGCTATGATTGGTCATATTTATATAGAAGCATCCTCAGGTGGTGTTGATTCAAGTTTGTTCAAATCATGAACCCCAGGGGTTGGGTGGGGCCACAAAGAAAGTTCAAACTTGTAGGAAAAAAGTCACAGTAAGTAAAAAAAAATATGTAAGCATCCTTAGTTAGTGAAGATTCAATTTTGTTCAAATCATAACCCACCCACCCCCCGCTCTCTCCCTTTTAGGGGTAGGTCGGGACAACTTATGCTTTTCAATTCTAAACTAATTTTTGCTTTTTTCCTAGCACAGTGCTCAGGTGAGCGATCTAGCCCATGGG